GCTGCTGACCACAGAGCTCTGGGCCTGAGGTGAGGCCAGACACCATGGTGGAAGGGGGAGCAGGAGGAAAGCAGCTCAGGCAGGGCAACCAGGAAGCAGAGAGATGATGTAAACCCAAAGGCAGCTTTGACCTGGCTCCTCCAGCCACASCCTACCTGCCTACAGTCATCACCCAGTTGATCCATTTYAAGTGGATTAATCCACCAGTTAGGCTACAGCGTCATGATCTAATCACTTCACCTCTGAACATTCTTGCCTTGTCCCCCACCTGACCTTGGGGGGGTCACCACAAGTCCAAACCACAGCACTGCCTTGGMTSGTTAGTGAAGATGAGCATCTTCTCRTGGTTTTGTGTCTTTCTTCATTCCTGCTTCACTAAAGTACAGCCAGCACGGTGGCACGTACTCAGGGGACAAGGTGGTATCTTGACAGACAAGCACAGTGTGTCATAAGCTCCTTGCATTTATTCTTTCTGTATTTTTGGCTCACCTCCTTGGATCATATAGCATAATATGTGTTTTTATTCTAATTGACATTAAACAGTTGATATATCTACTTTGTCATATTTTATAATGACAAACGTGGTCTGAATGCATCCTCCGGGATCCCATTTGTTTTTCTTTCCTTATTTCCTGACCTGCATTTGTTTAATGTGCCTAAATTCATCAGCTGTGTTCTCAGTTCTATTCCTTTCTTTTCTTCCCTCTGAGTATATGTTCAGAGGATTCATCGACACTGTCTCTAAAGCCCACTACATTAAAGACCTTTTCTTCAATTTGCTTTTATTTTGATTTTTGGCATTAAGACAATAATTCAGTTTATTTCAATCCAATTAATTTTAAAAATCTGAACAACATTTATTTCAAAATCTTTTTCTTCAACACTGACATTATACCACTTATAGAACTTTTAATTTTATTGAATTTGTATTTTCATATTCTACCACTGATGTATTTAGACAAAAGACAAATTCGCAATGTCTAGATGAATACAGATTTTAACATAATTTCATAAAAAGATGGAAAATGTTTCATTTTGCTACTTTGCTTGAAAACTACATTTCCCAATTTTCTGTGTGAAAAGCACACCTGAGGTGGATTCCAACATGAATTCTCAACTCTGCTTCATAGACACCATGAGTTGGCGTGGGGTCACAGTTGACCAAATTAAAACAAGAACATGATGATTGTGAGGTATGGCCACTTCCTCTTGTTGCTGGAGCCAACTAYGACCCAAGACTGGGAGATTAAAAGAGCATTAAAGAATTATTTTACAGATCAGGATACTGGAAATCCAAAATGGGTATCACTGGGATAAATTCAAGGTGTCTACATGGCTGTGTTCCTTCAGAAGGGTCTGAGGTGTTGTTATGGTTTGGATCTCGAGTATCTCCCAAAATACATGTGTTGGAAGCAGGATCCCCAGCGTAGCAAGGTTTAGGGGTGTAGCTTTTATCCAGGAACTAAATCAGGGGGCTCTGACCTCATCACGGGATATTATGAGGTGTCCCCCAAAGGCTCACATGTGAGACAATTTTGCAAGAAAGTTTAGAGGGGAAATGATTGTGTTGTGAGAGTTGAAACCTAATCAGTGCATTAATCCCTGTGGGCAGATAGGGTGAGGTTGGAAGAGAGGAGTCATTGGTGGGGGTGGGGCCATATATTTTGCTCTTGGAGAGCAGAGGTATCTCCCTCCCCCCCCTCCTTCCTAGTGCCATGTCCTAAGCCACTTTCCTCCACCTCACTTTTCTGCCATGGTCCACCACAGGCTAGGCCCAAGGCAATGGAGCCGCTGTCTATGGGGTGACACCTCTGGGACCATGGGTCCCAGCATGAAGTTGTCCTCCTCTAAAATTGTGCTTCTCAAGTCTTTTGCTCTAGGTGGGACCTGTGGAAGAGGCAGGTCACTGGGGGTGTGACCTGGAAGGGTTCATCCTCTCCCTGTCCCCTTTCATCTTCTCTTTCTCTCTGCTCCCCAGTTACCCTGTGCTGAGGAGCCTTCCTCTGCCACACCTTCCACCATGTCCCTCCCTGGAGGAGCTAACGATGAACAGAATCCTCTGACCATGGAGTTAAGCACATTCCTCTTTGCAGTGATCTGGCTTAGAGACTGATGCTGAGAGCCATAGCCAAGTAGGAATGACACATGGCATTTTGGGTTGAAAGGTGACCCTGCTCAGGGATTAGGGTGGCTCCAGGTTTAGGGTGGATCCTGCTGGGATTAGGACGTATCCTGCTGCCTCAGGCACCCGCTCCTTTGGAGTTCCCTTTGAGTTCTTGCGGGGTTCTGAGAGAATTGGCACGCAGAGCCCAGTGGAGGGAGTGTATTCCCAGAAAGTGTGTGGGTAGAGTGTCGGTGAGAGTTCGGGAATAAAGAGTTGCTCTTTGAATCTACAAGGCTTTGTGGTGGCTTGGTTATTTTGAGCCCAGCCAGACTGCAGCAGACTGACACATGGTGACACTGGCACAGATGAGAGGAACCTGGGTAGTGCCTGAAACATAGACATATGTTGAGAGCCACAGCTGAAGGGGCCCCAGCAAACTTCTAGCTGCCAGCAAACTTCTAGCTGCCAGCTGATGATTGGCTCACAGCGGCCCCAGCAAACTTCTAGCTGCCAACTGATTGGCTCCTCTGCGGTGATGCTCATTGGGCTGTTTCTCCGTCCTTTCAGACCACGGAGCTGCTCACTGGGGGACTTTTTTTGGCTCTGCCCACACGACCCAGCCAATCAGCCTCAAGAGCAGGAGGAGTGGGGGAGGTTGAGAGGCTTGTGGGAAGCCGGTGGTGGCAGTTGGGCTCTGAAGGTTTTTCCTGAGGAGCTGTTTTGTTTGGCGTGTGTGGTTCTAAAAATAAAGTTCATTTCTTTTGACAAGTGGCTCCTGAATTGTGCCCAGCCAGACTGCAGCAGGCATATGTGGAGGGTGGACAGCTCTGGAGTCCAGGACAGTAATGGCACTGGTGCAGGATGCAGCCACCTCCTCTGACACATTGATAACCATGTGTCACCTGTGGATGTTATAAAGCAGGCAATGATCTAGGACTGGAAGGTCCAGGCCTCCACAGACTTACAGAAACCTTGGTGTTCCTCAGGGAATAGCCCTCTGCAGCAGCTGACCTCACTGTCCAGCATATGGTCACATGCACTCAGGTCTCAGCTCTGGGTATGAGGGTACAAACTACCTCACCATGACAAGTGTCCAGTATCTGAAATGCAGTCATGCCCAGTTCAGCCACAGGGCAGGATCTGGACAGTGGASTCCTAATRGGCAGCAGCAACACCCTGGGAGTCAGGGCTCTGGCAAGAGGTGGGAGGAAACAGCACCTTTTCCAAAGTGACTCCACAGCAGTCAGTTCTGAGGGAAGAGAACCCTGGAGCCACATCTCCCTCTCTCAGTTCCCCAGGGGAAATAGCCATTGGTGATGTCAAGGGCAGGAGGTGCTGGTGTCCTCTGTAGGGGGCACGGCTAGCAATCCCCATGGCTCTGCTACATGGGTGAAACCAATAGCCTCTGCTTATCTTCCTTGTTCCTATCCATTTCCTGGCAGTTCCACGATCATTTGCAAGTTAACATTGTCCTTTTTTATCCAGCATGTGGATCACATTTCTTGATGGGCACTTGGGTCCACCTTGGGCTTTCCTGCTTTATGGAGAGCACCTCTGCCTGGCTTAGGTGAGCTGGTGAAGGCTGGGGTCTCCTGCTACACCCTCTTGATGATGTCATGCCTGAAAGACATTCACAAAATATAAGGCTGTCCAGTGATTCCTCCATTCCAAAACCCAGGATCACTGCCAATAAAATTCTCACCCTCCCCAGTCACCTAAGAGTCTACCTGAGAAGATCCTGCCTCCCACTCTGATTCACATCCTGATTCTTTAACCTGGATCATGTGCACACAGTGATTTCATAGCTCTTCAGTTAGAACCATAGATGTGGCCCTATGACCTACAACATCAGAAGGCAGAAGGGGAACTATGTGTCACAACACTCAGGACATTGCTACAATAAGCACATATGAATATTCCCTAGAGCAAGCATTCCTGATTCATGGACAATGAAAACACTTGGCCACATTGTTCCCAAACAGGGGTCACTGCACCTTGCACTCTGTGAGCTCTCCCATGATTTCCTTTCTTTGAATCCAACATTAGGTTTCAACAGGCTGTTTCCTATTGGATGCTTTTGTAGAGACTGGTGTCTCTGTACCAAGTGAGAGCAAGGGATGGCTTCGTCCTGAGAGGAGGAGGATGGGAAGTGGACCCAGGAACACAGTGTGGACCGGGTGTGTGGCAACTGGAACACATGGGCATTGGGAACCCCATAGTAGGTCCTCCCTTCTGGTGAGGACTCACCCATTCAATACTGCTTCACACTAAACAGAGTCACTCCTACTATTATCATTTTCTGGAATTGTTTTTAAAATGCTCTATTTGGGGTATAAAGGTCAGTGCCTTATGAATTGTTAAAGATGGTCCATACTCTCTGCCCTGGAGAACTGAGGACCATGTATCCAGCTTGTTTGGAAACATTGTCCTATACGGCCAACCCACCTCTCAATGCACTTCCCTAACCAGATGCTTGGAACTTCTTCTGCACTAATGAAATGGTAAATATAGAAGCTTTAACAAGGTCATTGGAAGGGCAAGGTCACTGTAAGAGCTGTGTGTGGAGTTGGATGTGTCTTGTGCACAGCTCCTACTTGAGGTGCAGGACTCACATGGGCTTGGAGACTGCCTGCTCATGCCCGGGAAAGACCAAGGAGCTCCATCTCACATTTGAGCAAATACTCATGGGGAAGGACAATCATCAGTAGAGATCAAGTCCAGGGACAAGATGACATCATGAGGCAACAGACCCAGGGGAAGGACAGACATAGCTGGCAAACAAGATGGTCCCAGGGATGCAACACTAGATTATGCACAATTACCTTTCTATTGTTGGATCCTCATTCATGGAAACTCAATTGCTCTGAGAATAGACAACACTGCAACAATTAATTTAATGAGCATTCAGGAGAATTCAACCTCCCAGGCCCTGGAAATAGTAAATATGCCCCGTGATCCTCTCACCCACAGCTCAGCTCTGCCAGGAGTGAGTGGCTTCACCTGGACCTTGAAGAGCACTGACGCCTGACCAAGTGTCCACTCATAGCCATGTCTGAACTGTTACTTGTCTTTCTCATGATGGAATTTTGTTGCTACTATTTTTAACAAGGACTTCTTAGAGAAAATGGGATCTTGTTATTCATTTCCCCCTCATACATAAATGGTAAGAATGAAAATCTCAAGCATTTCAGACTCTTTGTACACTTCCTTTCACAAATCTTTAATATTCTCTGCCCTTTTCCCAGAAATGCATTAATCTTTCTATAATTTATCATAAGACTTTATTATAAATCTACTAACTGTAACTAACAAGGTTATTTTGGGGTCCTAACTATCTGCATGTCACTTTTTCTCCTTCAGATGTTTTCAGTGCAGAGTTCCAATCACTCCTGTTTTCTTTTCTTACTTGTACCAAAAAAAAAAATTTAATTCAGAAATGCTTCCACTTTCAATGGTAATTCATGTCCCTGTATAAATTTATATTATTTATATACTTATGATTTCTTTAGTTGTCTCCTAAACACATCAAATGTTTTAAATTTATTTGAAAATATATAGACTGAATTTAACATTATGTTTTCAAAATAGTTAATTAACCATGACACATTTATTGATATCTATAAATAGCCTCTCAAAATAATCCAGGAATAAAAAATGCATGTTAATGAAATTAAAATTATATATTGAATACGAACATTTTAATATGAGATTGAGCATCACATTAGATGGCAAAACTCTAGGGTTATAACGCCCTTAAAAGAAAGGAAAAAGTAGAAGAATTCCCTATCTTACACAAAACCTTCACAAGGATCTGGATTTTTGGAAACCAATCAATGAAACCAAAATGAGAGATGACATGTTACAAATTAATATCAGTTAGTCAAAGTAGACTTTTAGAAAACATCATAAAATTAATGATAAAACCAAGAAAATTTGCATGATACCTCATCAATTAAGAAAATAAAAAGATTTCTGCATATCATAGCAATGGTGGAGATATAATGTGGGGACAATTATTCTTTAGAGCATTAAACCTGAAATACACTGAATATTATTTACAAGTAATGGACATAATATAATTTTCATTTTTTAAAAAAGTTCAGAAACGTTTGCCCACAAAAGAAATGCAATGTCTAGAGGTCAATTCCTGTTCTTGGAACAATCATCTGAACATTGTAAGATGTCAGTTGTTTTCAGATTGTTTTATAAATTTGAGGGGATTTCTAATAAAATTCCAGACATATTGTTCTTACAAAAGAGCCTAGTCGTTCTTAAATTCATGTATGAGTATAGTCAGGTAAGAGGAATAAAATGACAGTGGAAATAATACTAAATGACTTGTCATACTCAACTTTCAAATATGAAGAAAGTCAATTTTTTTTAAATGGGATCAAAGATCTCACAGCCTGGTAAAAGGTGTCAAATTTTTAGTCATTTACTTATAAGAATGTGACAAAGGATATACCTGAATTTTTAAAAACTGACAGAGGCCATTTACATCTGAAGAGAAGAACATATGAAATTAAAATTAATCCAAACTACATTTGCCATAAAGAAAACGCAGAAAGAATGTCGGTGTCCAGAATGGGCAGGATTTGAAGAGCCATTTCCATGTGG